GGCGGTGCCGCCCCACATGCACCGCCCCCCATATGTCCACTATCTATTAAAAAAAATAATAATATAATAATAATAAAATAATTTATTTACTGGCCAATTTGTTAGCCTCTGCTTTCAGTATAAATAGAGGGGCTCGGCAGAAGAGAAAGATGCACAAAAGAAGAAGAGAAAAATAGAGGAAAGAAAGAGAAAGGAAAGAAAAGATAGATTTATGTCCAAATATCGGATATAAAAATATCAAAAGAGAGAAACAAATGATATTTTTATTTGTTTTAAGATATTCCTTTTATTTTTAAGTGCTCAATTCTCGACTCCGTTCTTGTTCGCCGGAGCTCGTAAATCTGGTGTGCTACAGATTTAGCCAGATTTAGAGACGATTGCCGTTGTATTTTTGGGGAAGTTACGCCTGAACCGTTAGCAGACACACGTGGCGTATTCTTCTTGCGGAAAGAGTTATACTCGCATCGGCTAAAATCTTTTCGTTTTTCAGTTGTATTTTATTTTTTCAGTTCAATTGTAATTTTCTATTTTTAGATTATTTGTAAGAACTGAAAATTACATATCAGTTCGTAGGATTCCCGTGTAATTTTGACACCAAATATCCAACAATTCGCTCGCCTGCCGTACTCAATTACAGTTGTCCTCAATTTGAATGTATTTGTACAATGTTCGTTCTTTCGCCTTATCATATACATGAAATTTATGGATCTGGTTTTATTGAGATTCATTTTACTGCTACAGAAAATAAATGATACGATTGAATATAGGAAAATAGAAAAAAAAAAAAAAGTAAAAAATTTACGGACGGTTCAATTTAATCAAACTTAAGAGAAGTTACTAAAAAAGGCCAAATTTGTAATTAGTCATATAATAATGGTAATAGAATCCTAAGAGGAATCAAAGTAAGGAAACAAATTAAAAAACAAAAAAAATCTATACCATACAGAATTCTGCTTTTAAATTAAATCGACAGATAAAAATGGGAGTGATCATCATCAGAAAGGGGAACAGATAAAACAAGTCAGAAATTAAATTATGGTGAGATGTTAATAAATAAATTGCAATCATATATTTGATATTAAAGATAAATATAATCTTTGGTGAGATGCGCTTAAATCCTCCCTATATATAATTCCCGAATGCGCTGAGCCTATGTGGCTGATTCTGGTGCTTCGTAATCCTACTTGGCGAAAAATCATGCTTCGTAATTATGTTTGGACAAATAATATTTATATATTAATAATTAATAATCTAGGTTCGGACATTCCATAAATATTATTTATCTAACTTAGGTATTATAATATCACTTGTACTAATATAACCTTTTAATTATTTGTAATTTTATATAGTGATGCACTAAGTGACTAATATATCACTGACTTTGATTTGTTTCCTTCAATTAAACATTAAATTATAAATGTATTTTAAAAGTTGATAACTTTTGTATTTCTTATCGGTTTTACATATATTATATATCAAATTAATCATCTTTTGATGATCTTCGATTGAACATCCATATAATATATATGAAATAAATAAATTATATTTATCTTTATAATAATAAAGAATAATAATATTTATTATAATTCAATAGAAAAATAAAATTATTTATCAACTGATATATTTATTTTTAATGTAGTAATATGTTGTAAGTTAAAAAATTGTTATAATATGACACAGATAAGTCGCACAAATAAAAAGTGTCATACTAAATATATAATCCTCCCTATATATAATTCCCGAATGCGCTGAGTCTACGTGGCTGCTTCTGGTGCTTCGGAATCCTATTTGGTGAAGAATCATGCTTCGTAATAGGTTTGGACAAATAATATTGATATATTAATAATTAATAATCTAGGTTCGGGTATTCCATAAAAATTATTTAGCTAACTTAAGTATTTTAATATCACTTTTACTAATATAACCCTTTAATTATTTGTAGTTTTACATAGTGAAGCACTAAGTGACTAATATATCCCTAAATTTTGATTTGCTTCCTTCAATAAGCCATTGAATTATAAATGTATTTTAAAAGTTTATAACTTTTGTATTTCTTATCGGTTTTACATCTATAATATATCAAATTAATCATCTTTTGATGATCTTCGATTTGACATCCATATTGTATACATAAAATAAATAAATTATATTTATCATTATAGTAATAAAAAATAATAATATTTATTAAAATTCATTAGAAAAATAAAAATATTTCTCAATTGATATATTTTTATTTAATGTAGTTATATATTGTAATTTAAAAATTAATATAATATAACACAAGTAAGTCACACAAATAAAAAGTATCATAATAAATATATAATAATATATATATTCTTATAAAAGGTATTTAAATTTTCAAACTACTTTTTCTCATTAATTTTAAATTTTAAGAAAAAAATTAGCAAGCACCCGTGTAATACACGGGTGTTGTACTAGTTTGTTAATAATAATAAATAAACTCCGATTAAAGAAAATTGAGACAGAAAAGGTATATTGTGTAACCAATAGGTATATTCTTATAAAAGGTATATTGTGTTTTTTTGCCCTGGTTTTGAATATCATTTTTGGACAATTAAACTATACAAATGCGTTTAAATTTTGCAATTGTTATGTGATCATTTACAACTAATGAGTTTCACATTCTGTCATGGTTTTTTTTACCAAAAACAATAGTCCTAAAGTCGTAATTTTGCGTGGCAAATTAATCTGAGCATTGTGAGGGCTGTGAATGGGCTGGTTCCTTGCGTAGCAACTAATGACTCCTTCTCGGCTGGTACGGGCGACCGCGATTTCTTTCGGGTTTTTAGGTCGGTTATCTTAAGATTGTGAGGGTTGCGAATGGGTTGGTTCCTTCTCTTTGCATTAGGAACTTCGATCTGAGTATTATGGCTGGTTGAAGACATTTTGGTGTGAGATGTGGCTTAGTTCCAACTTTGTACTATTCTCTGGTGTAGTGATCGATAGGAGTGATCGGTCAAGTGGTCGAGCATCTCGACAAGCAAATTATTATTGTTTAAGTATTATGTACATTAGTTTTATTTATATTTTCTTAATTGTTAATACAAAATTTAAAATGTGATTTAAAATGAAAATAAGGTTGTTTCTATTTTTTTCTGTTTTGTAACTTAAATATAGATTAAAATTTTAAATATAAAAAATAAAATAAAATAAAATATAGTTATAAACATTGATCAATATTGTTGATTGTAGCGGTTATTGAGTTATTAGTAGAGAAATATTACACATATAAAATAAATAAAAAATTATATATTAATTAAATCGGTGTCTGACCCTTGAACCAGTAGCTTCACCGGTTCGATGACGGGTTCGTTCCTCAGAACCATGACACACACTCAAGAGTATCTTCACTTTCCTAATTAATCGAGCAAATACTATGTAATATACAATATTGACCATAATGATCTAGAATAGGAGATTCTGTGCACAGTGAATTTTTTTTAGCCATGTACAAATGGCTAACACAAATTTTAGCCATGTTTTGTAAAAAATATTTTTTTTTTTGTCATTTTAGCACCTAAAAACACAAAAATACCCTTACTACCTATTTTTATTTTTTTAAAAAATAACATAACATAACATAACATATGAAGACTTTCTCTCTCCTCTCTTCATAATTCCTCTCCCCACATACTCAATTTTTTGAAATAAGTTGAACACAATCTTTTGAAAAATAACTTATATCATACACTCAATTTTTTGAAAAATTTTGAAAGAACACAATATAGTGAAAAAAAAATAAAATCAAAAATCGTCTATTTCTGTATCCAGAAATTTCTGGGCCCAAAAATCAATTTCTGGACCCCAAAAATCATTTCTTGTCCAGAAATCCTAAAAACCCTTGAAATGATTTCTGGTCCAAAAACCCAAGAAATGATTTCGGGTATTAGAAATCGATTTCTGGACCCCAGAAATGCAAGAAATAGCAAAAACGATTTCTGAACCTCAAAAACGATTTCTGGTCCCAGAAATTCCAGAAATCCAAGAAATGATTTATGGTACCAGAAATCGATTTCTGGTCCCAGAAATTCCTGAAACCAGAAATCGATTTATGGAACCAGAAATCCGAGAAATCCCAGAAACGATTTCTAGCCCAAAAAATTTTCCCACAAAACGTTTATGGTTCCAGAATCCCAAAAACAATGTCTGGGTGATTTCTGGAACAAAAATAATTTTCGGATCAAGAAATCATTTCTGGTCCTAGAAATGACGTTTCCGGGAACAAAAACGTCATTTCTAGGAGCCACAAATCGTTTCTGCTAGAAAGACTAAAATTAAAAAAATAAAATAAAACGTAACTAGTTATCATAGGCAAAATTTAAAAAACAGTCCACTATGTTGGCCATTTTCTGAAGAATGTCCATCATATAGAGCGTCAACAACAATGGTCCACTAAGTTGTCATTTTAATAAAAATTCGTACGAAAACCAAGATAGTGTACTAAAAGTGATTGCCATTTTTAGGCAAAATTCAAAAAATAATACACTAAGTTGGGTGTTGTCAACAAAAAATACATTTTGTTGTCCATCATGGAAAAGAAACATGTAGTTGGCATTTTGGTTGGAAAATATACAGTAATCACCACACCTGGAAAAAAGCTGACGTGGTATGATTAAGTAATGACGTGACATTATAACTTTCTTTAATTTCCTACGTGGTATTTACGCCGGAAGTCAACGATCAATGCCAGAAATGAATGTCAGAAGTCAACGGTCAACACTGAAAATCAACGGTCAACGCCGGCGACAACAGTTAATTGTCAAAATAATATTTAAATAATAATAATAATAATAAAAATATAGAATTAAATAAAAAAATAAAGAATTATTATTTAAATACAGAGTTAAATTTTGGTTACACTTCTTGTACCAATTTAGTGGTTAGTAATGAGTCT